CACCAAGACTGATCGAGTAAGACGTGGAAAGATACCAAGAATCACAAAGACTTGTATTAAAATAGAGTGGTGACTGGCCACCTAATCCTTGTGCCATCCGTACTTCTTGCCATTCTTTCGGCCGTACCTTCCGTCCCTTCCTCCAAGAAAAAACATGTTTTAATATTCTACAATATTTTTTGCCCAATAGAATAATTAATCTCTTTTCGATCGTACACCCTTCCGGCCACCCTGTCATCAGCGTCGCCGCCAACTCACGACTTCGATGATTTCCACGCGTTCTCAGCCAGTATAGGATAGGGTAGAAACGAGTTTCTTGTCATATTGTTTGTGCAGATCCTCCGTTATGATCCTTGTGAGATGTTGAAAGGTCTCTTCGTTGTTGTTGGCTAGAAATTTACATGGATCTGATCTGTTTTAGGCATTTGGAATATTTTCCATAAACCAAAGATGCTTTATAAGTGATGGATTCTCGGAAATTGCTTTTGGGGGCCGAGCTCTATGGAGGCCTCCAAATGTAAAATTCATGAAAATTCATATGTTTAAATGAAGGCATAGTGCACAAGTTTGTAAATTTTCAAGACGAAATATGTTGAAATGAGGGTTGTGCAAATAAATAAATCAATGAAATCTAGGTTATTTAACACATGATACTATTCATTCTCCATGACCATGAATTTGTCTTTTTTGGACAGGTTGCATTTCAACGTATTTCATCCTGAAATTTTACACACATATGCCTCACATCCTTGTTTACATGTATAATTTTCAGATTTTTTTGAAATGAAAATTTTTGATTTTTGATTTTTTCAAAAAATTGGCATCCATGGAGGCTGAGAGCCAAAATGCCATTCTCATTAATTCTATAGTACTATAGTCACACATTGTGCATTGGTTCTGCATAATTTTTGTAAGGAAAATGCCTTCTACCACCTGACGGATCCCTTGCACTGATGTCCTCGTCCGTGGCCGTCCAATTTATTTTTGATCGGATGGCTCAGGAGCAACCCGATGGAAGGAGAAACAAGGGCTTGTCGCAATTGCAACAAGGCTCTTTTTGCGATAGGGCCATGTTTTAGCCTCGTAAAAAAACCTTGCAAAAGAAATATGCAACAAGACATATTTGTGCAACAGGACTTCTGTTACAGAAGCTTTTTGTAGCAAGACCTCTGTTGCAGAAAGCAGTACAACACCACTGCTCATGTAGGCATATCGGACGGTCATTAGCGGGTCCATGCAAAATGGTCAGGGGGCGGATGATTTTTCTCAGTTATCCATTGGTCGACGTGTAGCGTCGCCCTGAGTAATTATTTTTTAGATAGCTCACCACTCATGCCGAATGGTAGAGATAACTTATATGATTTGGTCCTGGTACTACTATGTATTAAACAAGCTAGTTAATTACGATGTATTTTGTAAATAGGAGAACTTGAAAACACACCTTAAAACAGGATACCATTAGACTAGGTGACATTAGTCGCTGAACTTAAAACAAATACCACACTTTTTTCTCCCTTTCTGAAAGATGGATTCCTCAACTCTTAGCTTAGGCATCCATGGTCATGCTTTTCTAGAATATGTGGAAAATTCAAACAGCAAAACTGTTGGGAAATATTGCTAGTACATCTATAGCTAAATGAATATTCATTCCCTAACAAATAAGTTATGTTTTCTGAAAAGGGGATAACCCCGGCCTCTGCATCATGAGATGCACACAGCCAAAATTATTTCATTCCCTAACAAATAAGTTAATCCGACCAAAATTATTGAAGAACGCATATGAACACACACCATCGATGACTCCATAAACGTTATACATTACCAGCAAAATAATATTTGTAGAATAATTATGACATCACACCAATAATAGCTGATATATGTACAATAAAACCGGTGTATATTGTTTATAACAAATTCTCCAATTGTAGTATGTTTGAAGAGTGATTGACAAAAAACTACCACTTTAGGGGTTACCGTCCCACAGAACTACCACTTTTAAAAAACTGACCGAAAACTACCAATTTTTTTAATTTTGTGACTAAAAACTACCACTTCCAGAAAATGACCGGTTTAGATGACATAAACACGTTTATGACATGCTGGACCCACCCGTCAGGGCTGACGTGGCGAAAAAGTCAACTCCGTTTAGTGGACTGTTATTACAGGTGGGGCCTGCACGTCAGCAGCAACCTCCTTCTTCTTCCTCCTCCCTTTGTCATTTCTTCGAACACCTTGTGTGGACCTGTGAGTCACCTCCCCGCCCTCTATTGCCGGCGCTCGCGGTCTTCAGCTCCGACTTCGTCGCCTGGGCGCGCCCCGCCGTCTGGCCGACGCCGAGGATGACCTTGGCCCTCCCCCTGCCATCGCCCTAGAAGGAGATCTGCTCGAAGGGTAGGCGGCGGACGGCAGCAGCATCCAGAGCCACACGCTCGGCTCGTTCGAGAAGGGCGTGTCGGTCAGGATCTCGGGCGGCTGGGGTGGCGGTACCGGCGACATCACGTACTCGCCAGATCCCGCGATGATGGCGGCTTCCTTGCCAGGAGATGGAGGGGTGGGTGGTCGCGGAATTCCAAGGCGCCGGCGGCTGCCTCGCCGGACATGGACGGGTGGGTGCTCGCCGGATCCCGTGGCTCCGGCGGCCAGCGGCGGCCTAACCGGGACATGGACGCGCGGGTACTCGCTGGATCCTGTGGCTCCAGCGGCTAGTGGCTGCCTCGCCGGGATATGGACAGGCAGGTCCTTGCCGGATCCCGTGGCTTCGGCGGCCAGCGGCTGCCTCGCTGGCCGGATCGAGCGATGGTGCAGGGTCGGGAGCGATGGTGCGGGGTCGGGAATTACCTTGGGACTAAGATTGGATATTTAGAAAAAAAATGTTAGACTGACATGCGGGCCTCACCTGTGATAATGGTCAACTTGACAGTCAAAATAAACGGAGTTGACTTTTTCGTCACGTCAGCCCTGACTGGTAGGTCCAGCATGTCATAAACGTGTTTATATCATCTAAACCGGTCATTTTCTGGAAGTGATAGTTTTTAGTCACAAAATTAGAAAATTTTGATAGTTTTCAGTCAGTTTTTAAAAAACGGTAGTTCTGTGGGACGGTAACCCTCAAAGTGATAGTTTTTTGTCAATCACTCATGTTTGAAGCCTATCCACCTATCTGAGGAGCCGGATGTGCTTAAATTGAACCTCAAGAGGACTTTGGGCATCTGTTTTGGTAGCGATCTCATGGATGGTTTGATGTGGCGAAGTCGGAATGCTTGCTCGAGGGGACGTGACCACGATGACTCTTGCATATAACTTCTACGGTGCCTGTGGGTGCATGCGCGTGCCTAGACCAGCCGTTGATGCCTCGATTTTGGACATGTTGTAACGGTTTTCATCATGTTTCCAGCTAATTAACCGACCAGGTTATCTATTTATTTTTCAAATTAATGGGTAGAGCCTAAGGTTTCGTTTTTTTAAGAATGTATGTATTCTCGTTTCATCTAGCCGATGAGATCAGCCACATGAATCTGAAATCTGGATTATGTTCTATATCATACTGTACTTCTCAACGCCGGAACTGAAGACGGCGCGAACGCATGACACAGAAGCACGACAGCAGAGATCGAGCAAAGAGCTGGAAAGATATCAAGAATCACCCAGGTCGTACTTGTTTTAAAACAGAGTCCGTGGTGGGCGGCCACCTAATCCTAGTGCCATCCGTACCTCTCGCCGTTCGCTTCGACCGTACCTTCTCATTTTGATCGTACGCAGCTTCGTCCACCACCCTGTCATCATCCTCGACGCCAGCTCACGATCGAGTTCGATGATTTCCAAGCGCTCTCTCCTCTCTTGCGGCCAATGTGGGGAGGATAGGATAGGCATGAGTTTCTTGTCATATTATTTGTGTATATCCTCCGTTATGGCTCTTGTGAGATGTTGAAAGGTCTCTTTGTTGTCGCTGGCAGGAAATTTACAGGGATCACACGTCTGCTCCAACGGGATTTGGGGAGAAATTTCACAAACCAAAGATGCTTTGAAAGTGAACTTTATGATACAATAGCGCTTTGTGCATTGTTTTCTCATTATTTTATGTATGAGAGGGTGTGTACTACTAGTATGGTTAACTTAGGCAGAAGCTAGTTAATTAATTGAAGTGTATTGGGTACACACACGCCTTAACTCTACAGATCTGCGGTTAATTAGACTGAAATTAACCAGCTAACACTAGTCGGTGAATTTAAAAACAGATGCATATTTTCCCCCTTTATGAAAGATGGATTCTTCTAAAAAAAACGGACTACCGCTCAAACAGCAGAACTGGTGGAAGAACAGCTAGTACACTGGTACAGCTATACAGCTAATTGACTCGTTCATCCATATAACAAATAAATGAAGATAAGACGTGTAACCATATCACCGTCCCCTACATGGATCCAAGTCCCTAACCAAAACCATTGAAGAAAAGCACATATGAACACACGCCATTCCATTGACCCACTCCACATACGCTTTCATTACACTGCCAATGACAGCCAGCTGAACATTTGAGCAATAATCAAGAAAGCATACCCGTCCAAGAGAAATAATACAGTAGCTTTTTGGGTAAAGAAGAGAAATAATAGCTGATATGTGCACAATAGTAAGATATTCTCCATAATAATATATTCCATGTGTGTTGTTTATAACATATTCTCCAAGAGTAGAATAAGATATGAGCCTTGCTGCAAGGCTGCTCCAGCTATGCCAAAGGCAGGAGGCTCCAAGAACAAGAGCCGCCCGTTGTTTCCAACCCCAACCACCCCACCCCACCCCGCCCATAATATACGCCCGCCCTCGCAAGAACACCCAGACCTCACATGCTTTGATCCCTCACCCTTCCTCCTCCTCCTCCTCTTAACCTCCTCCGCCGCAGCCCGTGCTCTCCCGTACTTCTTGGAGCCGATCATCGCAAGGTCGACCAACCAGCCACTCTTCACCGTTTCTTTGGCGCCACACCACCGCCGGTCGCCGAGATGATGATGGGGTACTTCTGGGCGCCGAGGAAGTCGGCGGCGGTAGAGAGGGACCAGAGCCTGCGGGCGGGGCTGCTCGTCGACGGAGGCAGCGGCGAGGCGGCGGCGGTGCCCAAGGGGTACTTCGCGGTGTACGTGGGCGCGGAGGCGCGGCGGTTCGTGGTGCCGATGAGCTACCTCCACCAGCCGGCGTTCCGGGCGCTCATGGAGCTGGCGGCCGAGGAGTTCGGCTTCGGCCAGGCCGGCGGGCTCCGCATCCCCTGCCGCGAGGAGGACTTCGTCGCCATCGTCGCCGCACTCGAGGCCACGGCCGAGTCGCGCCAGCGCCGGCGGAGCGCCGCCGGCAGGAAGAGCAGGAGCAACGCCACACCATGGTGATTGATCATGCTCATGCATGGCGACGTAGAAGAAGAGTTTTTTGTCCCGGTCATGTGGATGGACGCCGTGTCTTTGCGTAGCGCGAGCATGGCCGTCGCCGATGATCCGTCCGATTTCCGAATCACCATTGGTTTGCTAGTAGATAGATAATCTCTCACTCGTGTCTGGACTCTGGAATAACGATGATCTTGTAAAGGGGCCCTTCTTTTTTGTTTTCGAGCAACATCGATCTTGTAAGGGCTCTGAAACTGACAATTGAAAGATGATTTTGATTTCCATGATACATGCATGCATCCTCATGTTCCTCCAGCTGATCAGAAGATTTGAGCCAGATATTGTTCTCCAGAAATTGTGTTTTTATTTTTCTTTACAATTAAAAAGGTGTCCTTTTATGTCTACTCAAATATGAACAGCCTGTATCCAAATGGAATCTCCTGCTAGCATTCTGCAAGCTGGAGAAGCTGCACTCACATATATTCTGGTTATCTGTTTAGAATGTTCCTCAAAATTGCTATAACATGCACCTAGCATGTTCTATTGATATCTAAGAAGATACTTGCAGCTGGGACAACTGAAACAGGTGGCACAATTAACCCCATAATTCCTGGGAGAGAGGAACTTCTCCTCCTTTTACTGTTTTTTTCCTCAAAAAACTAGGAGAAACACTACCTTCTAATCTTGTGTATATGAATAGCTAGCCCCACACTAACCTATTTATCTCAATATGCATGCATGCCACATCAGCATGCGACTTGCATGGTAAAAAACTCACCTCAACATCCAATCATGCGGGAAAAAGTTCACCTCACTCTGCAAACATGTGCATGAGAATTTACATTCTGTTATGCTATTTATATTTAATAAATATTTTACAACTATACAATGATCAAACATAATGAATCATATGTAGTTTTAGTTTTACTTCTCATAGTATTACTCAAAATATCCATGTACCATACAAGCAAATATCACTAAAATATATGTTCTATGTTCTATATCTAAATAGCTAGCCTCTACTAATTTATTTATCTCAACATGCAAGCATGCCACATCAGCATGCTACATGCATGGAAAAAAAGACCAACCTCAACATCGAATCATGCATGAAAAAAAAAACACCTCAACTTACGAGCGTGCACGAGAATTTCTTTTCATTCGGCTATTTATATTTAATAAATATTTATATTTTACAACTATACGAAGATCAAACGCAATAAATTATATGTGGTTTTTTAGTTCTCATGTTAGTACGTCAAATATCCATGTTCCATGCAAGTATATTGCAAAATATTCCCGTAACAACGTGCCAGGTATGATCTAATTATGAAGGCATGTAACATGCAGTTGCCAAAAAGTAACCATAACCCCCCCCCCCCCTCCTTCCAGTTTCTCCCTCCCCTAAGGAGAG